CTCCACCACGCAAGGGTACCACTCAGACTTTGCTTAGTTTGCCAAATTACCACGACTAAATTTGGTATTATCCACAGAAAGTTCATTCAACTAATAAAATTCTAGGATATCTACACCGTCAATCGCTGACAGCGATCGAGAAGGCAACAACAAACCAAGTTTAGCAGGCACTTCTCAAGAGACAAAACAGCATCCGATGTGTCACAATTGAGATTTGACACTCACCTGTGTTGGTTGTGCATCCCAAGGCCCACCAGATATGGATTATCGGGCATGCCCAACTGAAAGTTTATGTATTGATCCGAATAGACTAATTTGCTCAGGTCGATGCGTATCAACGCATCTTTCGCACTCTCAATTCTCGATACGCACAGGCTGTTATTTTCAATCGCCAGCGTAAACAATTGTCTGGCTGGGTTTTGGATTCCAAAGAAACAGAATACTCGATTAGAGTGCCTCTCAGGATTAAAAGACAACTCATCAACAATAACAAGGACAAAATCGAAGGATATGCTTTAACTATTGGTCAAGAAGCGACCAAATAATGTGATCTCGGGAACCACGACACAGTCAGAAAAAAGATTTGTCGGTTTGATGTCTCTATCCGGCTCAGGAACAAGCGTATAAAGATGAAACAAATGGTTCCAAATATCTGACAAGTACCTCTACACCCTTAACTGTGTGTGCTTGTACATCCATTCTTATTAGATTGTTGAGTCTAGGATGCGAACTACATTAGTACAACTAAAGCACTCCTTCTTACCAGAGATCGAGCTAGGTGTATGATTTAAAGGTGCTAACTCTTCTGGCACAGTCCACCGATCGTTTTCCGGATCAGTGATCTGCAAGCGAGCATTTCCACTCGGCTCGTACGATATCCTCACCTTCAGGGATTTAATCCCCGTATTTCCCTTGTCACCATCAACGATGGCAGAAACACCTTCCTCAGTCTGTATGATACTTCCAGTACGAAGCGAATACCCACCAACTGTTGACATGGCGACAACAAGGCCACATATATATGTGTTAGAAACTTCTATGCGAAGTAGCCGAGAATTACGTGCGCAATTCCGTTCGCAAAAATTGATTGTGCCGCGATCGGAGTTTTCTTCCGAAGTGAACATATATGCATGAACGCCGCAATAACTACGGGAAAAACCGAATACGATGTTTATGTGTATGGAGATTTGAAGAAACCATACAAAAAATATAGAGTGCCCAATAACTCATATGAATGAATCATCCAAGCTCCTGTGCTGAAAACCCATATCCCATCAAATAGGATTCCGCTTGTTCGTACAATTACCTTTTAGGGAAATATCGGTACATTGCCCCAGACGGACGATCTGCCAGGTCTAAACATCGTCATACTAATGCACACTCTCGCGTACTTCGAAACTTCATACGAATGTTGATGAAATATAAATGCATATATATATATGCGTTGAACACACATATATATACGTCCATAGATATGAATCACAAAGGTGCATGTGTGTGCATATATAAATATATATATTGAAATAAATATGCAAAAAGAATATGTAGATACAAACATATG